GTCTCAAAAGAAACCTTTTATGAGACACAGTAGCAGATAGAACAGAGAGAGACAACAGAGGAAGGTGTTGGTTCAAAAAACTTAATCACTATTAACTTTGAATAGTACCTCTTGATCACACTCAATCGAATCATGACTATTGAAACATCAACGGTTAGTCTCGCACCAAAAGTGCACCTCTAAGGCACTTTATTGTATTGCACAATTGCATACATGTGTACGCATACGTTGCCCAATGGCAGCCCTCTATACTCTCCTCTTTATTTCTAAGGAATGTAAATAAGTTCATATTTAAAAACTCAAAACAAGTTCTATAATTTTCTAATGTAGGACAAGGTAAAAACTACTTTTGATAAGAGAAGAATTATTTTTTCAAGACATGTGTGCAAATGTGTTTTTCCATGTAATTGATTAATCAAACCCCATTGGATTTAATCTATAATGAGATTAAAATCCAACAAATATGTTCAAAATAAGGAAACTCATACATAAATACATAAGGTATATGAGCCAAATTGAATTCTACCAATGGAAAATCACTTTAATGTACATGTAGACCATTAACTAAGTCGAGCAAGGACACATCTAAGATGACACTATAATTAATTTACATTCTTGGCACTGAAAAGCCACTCCTAAACTCATTGAGATATTGAAATTTGAGAATTTTATATTTCTCGTTGTCTCTTACTCAGTCATTAATGCTCAAAGACTCCTGTTCCTTGACCAATGATAGCTATTGAGTTGCAGCAACAGTGTCAAGGTTCCAAGAAACTCAAAAGTTAAAACGAATAATGGCAATGGAGATTTACTGTTATTGATTAGGAGGGTAAATCAATAGTGTAGCAAAGTATTGACCGAATCAAGTGGGGCCATACATGATTGTATATATGAAGATACGAATTCAATGTTTTGTTGTTTCCTTATTCTTTGATTTTTCTTTAATCCTCTTTGGTATAATGATGATAAAGACAGCATTGATTCCTATGGATTCCTAATTTCATCATGCATCTACAACTTAAATGCTTAACTGACTTGTATTTTTTGCTTTTTGGTTTGATTTTTGAAATTCATTTATCATCCTTTGTTTCCCTTCTTTCTCATCACGATCAAGAAAACAATTGGGTACTTGGAAGCAAGGTTTAAAATTTAGATACGATACGCTTGATACGGGGTATATCGCATCGTATCTTTGAAAAATAAATACGGGATATGCATGGAAATCAATTGTATCGTATTTTTTCATGTGTATCGGACCCGTATCAGGGCATATTTGTAGCATATCAACAAAAAAGAGAGGCCAAAAACTACAAAAATAAATAATGGGGGAAAGCAAACTTCTTTTCCCTGAAATAATGCTTTTTTCACCCTCAAATTGTTCTAAAACTCCAAACCTCATTTCTAGAGTACTAGATTTGCAAAAATTTGCAAGAAACAAGTGTGAATCGTTAAATTTGTTTGAAGATTTTTCAAATTTTGAAAAAATATGGCAAAAGTAGGTAATTTTTTTTCAATTTTTATAATATCTTGTGATTTCTTTTTTTTCCTGAATGTTTAAATTTATGTTGATCTACATTTCTTACATTAAAAATCACAATTTTTTTTTGTGTTATTAGTAGATTTATGGAAATTTCATAAAGATATTTAGGGAAAGCATAAATTAACAAAAAAATTGAAATTGTAATTTTTTCTCTACCTATAAAGACTAAATATGTTTTAGATCTATGGATTTATCTATTATATCCATAGAGCAATTGAAGTTTCTTCTTTAATATTATTTTATTTTTTATGTTTTTAGAATTAAATAGTAAATAATAATTAATTATATTTTATCATTTGATTACAAAAACTGAATATATTATAATTCTATGGATGATCTATCATATCCACAGACCAACTAAAATTTCTTGTTCAATAATTAATTTTTTATTTTTATATTTTTTAATTAAAATATAAATAAATAATTAATTATATTTTATCATTTGATCACAATGATTGAATATATTATAATTCCATAAATGATCTATCATATTCAAAAAGCAATTGAAATTTCTTCTTTAATAGCTAATTTGAATATATCATATAATGTTTATTTAATTTTTATAATTTTTGGAAATAAATAATAAATAATAAATATTAATTATATTTTCACTTAGAAGTTTTGCGAATGCATGTTTTATTGTTGAATAGAAGAGTTGGATTTTTCCCATCCCATAAAACATTAAAATTTAAGAATTATAATTTATAAATTATAGTTAAGCATATGATTTTTAATGAAATTATAATTAACTATAATATATTTCTTCATAAAATCATTAAAATATATTAATGTAATGTATATACACCTCATTTAGGTCTTATATTTAGTACTGTTGATGTATTTTTATGATTTATTAAAGTATTTACAATATTTCCAAGTATATGTATGTATATCTTAGTTTTCCTTGAATATGCATATGTATCGAAAGCATATATCGATATGTTTCTTAAAATTACCTATCTTATACACTTGAAGTTTTAGATAATTTGAACCTTGCTTGAAAGTTTCTAAAAAGTAAAGAATGGTTTTAATTTTGAAAATAAGAGTTTCTAGTTCCCACTCGCAAGTATGATGGGAAAGAAAAAGGAATTGTGAATTTAGACAATATAATATACTCCTATTATGAAAGAAAGTTAATGTGGGTCCATATTCCTCGTGGCATCTTTTCAGCAACAATAATTTATGAAATTCCGGCTAGGCGATCTAAATTTTATAACTACAAGGCTCTTTCCACATGACATAATTGAATCCTATTGTCTCTCTTTTTCTTCCGCTGCGGCAAACACCGCGGAATGAGAGAAGCCCTATTTTTCCCTCTTTTTCTTTTTCTCCCTTCATCCTCTTCTCCTCCTTTCTCCCTTCCTTTCTTCTCCACTGCTATAAGCACCACCAAATTTGAGCAGCCGCACTCCCTTCCTCAACCCCCCTCTTTCTCTTCTTCTCTCTTTTCTTCTTCCTTTCCTCCCTACCTCTACTAAGGTCATTGAGCGGAGTCACCCTTTCAAAATTTAGGTTTGAAATGGCATGTCACTTTCATTTTTATAAAACAAAAAAGAAAAGCAGATTTCCCCACTTAGCTTAGGTGTGCCCAGTCAAAGTTGATTTGCACCCATAGTCCAATACTTTAACAATAAACATTGTATGTGAAGTAGAGAGTGAGAGAGAGAGAGGAGCACGAAGAAGGAGAAGGAGAGAGAGAAAAAGAGCAGGGGAGTTGCCACTTTGGCTCAATTTGTTGGGAGGAATTGGAGGACGATGAAGAGAGGAGAGGAGAGGAGAGTAAGAAAATAAGTGGTAAGAATGAAAAAATTAAAGGGTATGTGAAACATAGCTCCAACGTTTCTTAGTGGATGACCTATTTGTGTTATATGGGGTCATCTTCAAAAGTATCTGTTAGTTAGGTTTTAAAATTATAGAGTATATGTAAGTAATTTCTTCAAATCTCAGGATATATATAAGTAATTAACACATATATGATATAGGCCTGGCCTGAAGTGTTGGGATCAAGCATGGCCCATAAATTTATGGGCTGGGCCGGGGATGGCAAGAAATCATCACCCCTGCTATAACTTATAAACCTTAATTCCATAGTAAAGCAACCTAGTTTAACCCAGAGTTAAATAAATATTTAGAAGCTAACACTTTAAATTGATATTAATTGTTTGCTGCATTTGTTGCAATTTTAGGTTTTTATAAAAGTTTACTTTTTTTTTTTCTCTTTATGTTGCAATTTTTATTTTATAGAAGTTTCTGAAGTGGGTATTTTGGTAAATTAATTTCTTTCATAGTCCAAGTTAAGGGAGAAGGGTCTTTTTTTGGAATCTAAAAGTTTATGGAGATCTTTTTGCAAATGAAAGTTTGGTGGGGGTGAACTGTCTCTACCACCGAAGTACAAGGCAGTAATCTATAATTTACCCATATCATAAAAATAAAATAAAATTACAAAACTACTTAAATATACCCTATACTATCAAAACCACTTATATATATTGACCTTTCAAATGTTTAATATACAAAGAGTAAATTATATAACTACCCTTAACTGTTCATTAAATTTTCAAAATATGCTGCATGCAAAATGTTGAACCCTGTTGTCTCTCTTCTTCTTCTTTTTCCCATCCTGTCTTTAAAACGCCACCGAATGAGGGCAGCTCTATTTCTCCCTCTTTTTCTTTCTCTCCCTTCCTCCTATTCTCCTCCTTTCTCCATTCCTCTCTTCTCCACTGCCACAAGCACCACCTAACTAAAGCAACCGCTCTCCCTTCCTCCTCTTCTTCTCTCTTTTCTTTTTCCTTTCCTCCCTACCGCTACTAAGGTCATTGAGCGGGGTCACCCTTTCAAAATTTAGGGTTGAAATGGTATGTTACTGTCATTTTTATAAAAATCTAAAAATAGATTTCCTCTCTTAGCTTAGGTGTGCCCATTGTAAAAGTTAGTCAAAGTTGATTTGCACCCATAGTCCTATACTTTAACAATAAGAATTAAAAAGAGAGAGAGAAAAGAGCACGAAGAAGAAGGAGAGAGAGAAAAAGCAGGGGAGTTGCCACGCTCAATTTGTTGTGAGGAAATGGAGAATGATGAAGAGAGGAGAGGAAGGTAAGAAAATGAGTGGTAAAAATGAAAAAAAAAATTAAAAGATATGTGAAACAGCTCCAACATTTTCTTAGTGGATGACCTATTTGTGTTATATGGGGCCATCTTCAAAGGCATCTGTTAGTTAGGTTTTAAAGTTATAGTGTATACGTACGTAATTTATTCAAAATCTCAGGATATATAAGTAATTAACAGATATATAGAGTTTTATAAAGATTCCATAATAAAACAAGAAATGACAACTCTTTTATCTATACACGGAGCAGCCTCTTCTGTCAAGCAAGGGAGCCTATAACTATAACTCTATAAACGGGATATCCCTCTATTGCGAAACCAAAAGTACAGTTATAGTAACTCATACTTAACAATGGCTCTGCAGGTTGTGCCACTCCTCCTCCTGTTGTCTTCTTTTTGCTCAGCAACTGCGACATCATCATCTTCATCATCAGTCAAGTCGGTGCAGGCAAAGCCTAACTGCCCAGATAAATGTGGGAACATCACCGTTCCCTACCCCTTTGGCTTGGGACACGACCCTAATTGTTACAGAGATGGCTTCAAACTATCCTGCAACCACACTTTCACCCCTCCCAAATTATTAATTGCCTCTGCTGATACGATCATTTTCGAAGCGACAGACCAAGACGGGGTCTATAAGGAGGTTGCTGATAGAGTGCTGGAAGTTAAAGAAATATCATTATTACAAGGCCAATTGCACGTCTATTCATTCATGGACTACAATTGCTACAACCATTCCTTATTTGTTAGCCCTAATAAGTCCTCGATCGTTATGGATTTATGGGATACGCCCTTTACTTATTCCGACACTCGCAACATGTTCACGGTTATCGGTTGCGACTCTCAAGCCTCCATTAAGTACAACAATAATGAAAGTATTGGATGGTTTGGAATCCTCCAATACGGCTGCTCTGTGTTTTGCTTAGGGATAGAGGAAACGCTGAGTGGGAATTACAGTGGCATGGGTTTCTGCCAAACCACCATCCCCAGGGAACTAAAGAGTGTTGGAAGGAAGTTGGAGATTCTAGAAAATTCATCATTGGATTTCAATCCATGCGCATACGCTTTCATCGCTGACAAGGAGCGGTACAACTTCTCCGTAGCTGATCTCTCGGGCTTTGATTTCTATAGAAGAAACAGAGGAATGGTTCCAACCATACTCGACTGGGCAATAGAGAACGACTCCTGCGAAAACATTACCATGAGAAACTCCACTACTTATGCATGTGGCAACAACACCCACTGTTACAAGTCCCCCAACGGTCTCGGGTATCTCTGCAAATGTTTGAAAGGCTACGGAGGCAACCCTTATCTTCAAGATGGATGTCAAGGTACATAATAATATCGATAATTTAATTTCATTCTTCTTCACCAAATTTTCCTCCATCCAATTTCTACCTAAAAGACTGAGTCTTTACAAAATTTTGATTCTAGTCCAATAATTTCTAATAAATGGTTCGCAGATATAAATGAATGCTCGAATTCAACCATGAATGACTGTTCATCACCAGGGATTTGCACAAACATGCCTGGAGGTTATAACTGCTCTTGCCCACTTGGCACAGAGGGTGACGGAAGAAGAAATAGGCGTGGTTGCATCCCTCTTCCACCTTCAAAGACAACATTGGGTGATTCAACTCTCCATAGGTAATATAATTTAAATCCACGACAACATATAATTGCTATTTATTCATTCATCAGCATCAGGATTTCTCCCCAAACTCAGTAGTCAGTTCCATCATTTGTCAAAACCCAAACCATACGGATTGACAAGAGAAAATTAAGATCTAGGCAGATTGTGAAGTAACAACAGCAGAAGCTGCTCAACTGTGGCAGCCATGGAGATTTGGAAGGGGCAACAAAAGTCAAGGATTTGACTACCAAATTGTGGTCGTTGAATCCAACGACTTGGGTCTGCTGCTAGCCACGTTGTGCGTGGCTAGTCATATAACCAATCGCAAGTGAACACGTCAATGTTCTAAAAACATGTGACCACATTCTTAACTTTCTTCTGTTCTGTAGAAAACACTTATTCGGTAAAAATCGAAAAATCAAATTGAAAATTTTGGTTTTGGTTTTTTTGTTTTTTTTGTTTTTTTTTTTAATTAATTCCACTTTTAGTTTTGGTTTTCAGAATTAGAAATTTGGTTAATGAAATTAACGGAACTTTTTATTATTATATATAATATACAATACATGATATTATATATTTATATATTAATATATAATAAAATGAAATTCAATTTCATAATATATATTTTATAATATATAATATATATTATATGTTATAATATATAATAGAGTACACATTATTAAAATTCGGTTTTAACTGGAATTACCGAAAACTGAACCAAAAATTTCAGTTTTCATTATTTTAGTTTTTCTATTATTTGGTTTTGGTTTATTTTTTTTATGTTTTTTAGTTCAGTTTTTTAAATTTTGATTTATTCGATTCAATTTTTAACCAAATAAGCTGAATTCTCACCTCTAATTACACCCAAAATTCATTTGAGAGGACAAATGAGATTTGATGAATTAGTAGCAATGTAAATAATAAAATTAGTTAAGACACCCCTATAGCTTTACATATTTACTAAAATTTATCCTCTATTTTGCATATTATTAAAAGACCTTTTATAATTTACAACCAATTTATTATTGACCTTTTCCTCTGGAACTGTTTATATTTTCATGTAGGAATATTTCACTATAACTTGGTCTAGAGAAGGTGTAGACTGCACGTGATACAAGAATTTGTGAGGGGTATTTCTAGAAATTAGAATACAAAGATCCTGACCATGAATGTTAGTTGATGCATTTTTGGAAATAAAAGATCCACATTTTTGAATGAACATTTGAAAATTATACAAGTAGATTTAAATTTAAAATATAAAATACAATTGATGTTGTTCAATTTGAGGTGTGCCGAGCTGAGGTATGCCAAACTTAACATGCAGTTAGGCTTGAGCTCGGCTTGGCTCGGTTTCAGCCGAGCTCAAGCCCAATTCAGTGGCTCGATTAATAAACGAGCTGAGCTCAAGCCTCCTAGAGCTCAACTCGTGAGGCTTGCGAGCCGGCTCGAATATATATAATATATAATATATATAATAAAATTATAGAAAATAATATATATATAATAAAAATATTATAATTATTAATTATTATAATTCTTAATTTTTAAATATAAAATAAATTTTATATATAATTTTTATTTTTATAAAATATAAAACGAGCCGAGCTCGAGCTCAAGGTTCTGGCTGAAACTGAGCTCGAGATCGAGGCTTATAGAATAGTCTTGAGCCAAGCTCAAGCCTAGTACTATTCGGCTCGGCTCAGCTCGAATCCACCCCTACATGCAGTAGATAATCCTACCAACTAGGTGAAGCTGAGGTGGAAGGATGAGGTCTTGCACCAAGGAGATTTACAAACAGGAAAGAGTTAGATGCCTGAGGATGAGGTCCTTGGGAAGGCACTCCAACGCTCAAGTTAGTAATGGGATAATGAAGTCAATTGGGCCAAACTGTAGGCGATGACCTAGGCCAAGCCAAGATGGACAATAAAAGGGCAAGAGAATCTAAAGAGTTGAAAATTATTTACCTAGAGGGGAGATACCTTTAAATGATTGAGTGTCTAAGTTGTACCTAAATGCACTCCTTGTAGGGTTATTGGGATGAGGCTCCCCACCAAGGTTTTCAAGGAGCTTCACCTTCCTCAGCAAGGGCGCTTATCCTTAAGAGGTGGTGCTTATCTTTGTCCATGCGGGAATATATTTCTATCTGAGGTCTTTGATGACGTAGTTATCTACACTTGGTGTGCAACGCGCTAACGTAGTCCAAAGATGTTGGCCACAAAGGTGCTCACATGGCAGCTTCAGCCAGTGGTGGAGTTGAAGAGTGATGAGTTGAAGGTGCCCGCGTGGTAGCTTTAAAGTAAAGGAGTGAAGTGCTTGATTGTGCTGGAGTTGAAGAGCTCCTGATGTGCTCAGTTAAGGAGCTCATTGCTGTAGTGGAGTTAAAGAGCTCCTGGTCGAAGCTTGGTCGAACTAGGTCTGATGCTTCAGGTGTCCTGCGCTCTTTGCTTCCAAGTAGAGGCCTCGACTAGAGGTTGCTAAGCTCATTCCACCAAAGACTGATGCCAACATGGTTGAGGCCGAGACTAAGGAGGCTCGAGCTTGAGGAGATTGAAGGTGAGGCTAACGTTGATGAGACCAAAGGTGAGGCTGAGGCTAAGGAGGCTGACGTCGATGAGACCAAAGCTGAGTTGGCTGAGGCCTGAGGAGGCCAAGGTCAAGGGGTCCGAAGGTTAGGCCAAGTCGGACGAGGTCGAGGAGACCAAAGGTGAGGCTAGGGGGGCCAAGGTCAAGGAGACCAAAGGTGAGGCTAGGGAGGCCAAGGTCAAGGAGTCCAAATATGAGGCCGAGGTGGATGAGATTGAAGGTGAGTACGTCGAGTTGGTCAAGGCTAAGGAGGCTAGAGGTGAGGCTGAGTTGGCCAAGGTTGAGGAGTCCGAATTTGAGGCCAAGTTGGCTAAGGTCAAGGAAGCTAAGAAGGGCAAGGTTCCCCAGGGAACTGGCTTTAGTCAATGGTTGGATTCGATTCTCTTGGGTTCATTGAAGTTGTAGGCTGTCCCAGGTCTCAAACTATGGCTAGATGGCCTTGGTCTTAGGTTGGCCGAGGTCTCAAGGTTGATGGCTAGGTTACTGAAGTCTTAAGTTGAATAAGTTCATGGACTTGATAATGAGGTGGCCTCAATCTTAGCCCGGCTGAGGTCTTAGACTTGGCGTCTAGGTGGCCTCGGTCTTAGGCTAGTTGAGGTCTCTAACTTGGTGGCTCAGGTGAACCCTTGCCTAGTTGGCTCTAACTTGGTCAGCCATGGTGGTCAGTTGACTCTTCCCTCAACACTTGGTCGAGAGGCTTGCCATGGATCCTTGGCTCCTTAAGGCCATTATAACACCATGGAGTGGTCTTCACTAGTCGTCCTTAGGGCATGAGTGGTGGGGACACCATTCCCACTTTACCTAGTTCAAGCTAGGAATCCCAAGTGTTCTTGCTTGACCGAGTTATCATGGAGGGCACTTGATGTATGCAGTATGATGAATGCATATCATCAAGAATTGACTTTTATTGCTCAAATATCAATTACAAGGAGTTCAGATAGTTTTTGTGGTAGTTCCCCAACTAATGGGAGCTCTTCTCTTAGAGCGTCACCCTGCTTGAGACAACAAAAATGACTCTAGCTAAAAGCTAGCTTCAGTCGTCAGGCATGTTGGCACAATTTAAGTTGTCTCTATCGGGAGTTCAACAGTCGTCCAAGAAGCCCTAGAGGTACCCTCTTCAGATGAGGGTAACTTATTCCTACAATCATCAGTATCGGGGTGGAATCCTCGGCCCATTATTTCTATGGTGGTCCGTTCTCTAACGATTGTGGTTGGCTCGGTCGTCGCTCTTGTCTTTGCGCTTCATGTTGTGTTTGCCTTCTTCTTCCTGTGGGCATTGCGCTTATGCCTTTTCAACATTGATGTATTTTTGGGCATGAGTCATGAGCTAAGTCAGCTCAACAAGGGGATTCTTCTATAGCGAGAAGCTGAATTGAGATGCCCACAACACATTCATGATGGCAACCATGACCACAAACTAGTTCCAACTCTATACTTGGATGGACTCAGCTTAAACCTCACCAAGTACTCCAGTAGGGGTTCGCCTTCCTTCTACTGGACTTGTATGAGGTTGGCCAACGTCTTCTAATGCTGATGGTTACTAGTTAATTGTGTTAGGAACTACTTCTTAAATTGGTTCTAGGCTGCTATTGAACGAAGGAGAGTGTGGCATACCATTGTTGGGCTACTCCCTAGAGTGTAGAGACAAAGGTCTTGCACATTAAGGCCTTAGCTTTGTAGGAGCATGGGGGCCTTGAATCCCTCCTGGTGATTGATAGGGTCTGAAGACCCATCGTATTTCACCAACTAAGGGGGCCGCCATCTTATGATGGGATGCCCGTCTATGATTTCCTATAGGAAGACCGACTTCTTTAAAGGGTACAGTTCTTTTAGAGGATGAGTTGTCATGCCATCTGCGCTCTGATTGGCATGGCTTTCCTTTAACTCATTCAATCATTCTTGAATTTCTTTGTTCTCGATGCCAAGGTCCACAGGCTTCATCGTCATTGGTAGTGTGTGTTGGGCCTTGACGGAGCTAGACTCGGCTCGGGAGACCAGCAGTTGCTAGATGCACATGCAAGCCGAGACATTCTTTGGTGGGGAGACAAGCTCCAGAGTAGTGGGATAGGGAGTGAGTGTCATGGCCTCAAGTTTAAGCTTTGAACTCAGACTTTCGAGATGAT